AAGCGCCGTGAGGTATTTGGCGAGTCGCATGAAGGGTGAGCTGCATCCTGCTAAGGGTGTTCGGCATCTTGTGCTTACTTCCTTGCGTACGGATGACAGCTGCGTATGACTTAATTTATTTTCTGGTGCTTTCACTTCCAGAGACAGTTGTAAGCACTGTGTAACTGCCTCGAGGAAGCTTGACCATTTTAACACAACGTGGTGCGATCATCCCCCGTTGCGCGGAGTGAGGTTTCTCGACCCCGCACAACATGATCTACTCGACCACCATTATGGTTACCGCCAAAAAAAAAACCAGAGGTAAAAACAAATGACGGTAACCTGGTTGCCGAGTTCACGAAGTGAATTGGCTTGTTTTACAACGTCGTTGCCAATCGACGAAAACCCAATCCCGATGGCAAACACCGAGTGGGGGGAAAGGGGACGGGTTAATTCATGTACTGTTCAGCAGAGGGAGCGGGGGAGGGATTGGTAGCGACAGGGAAAGAGAGCTGCGAAGAAACAGAAGGAGAAACAACGGACAAAAAATAGGGCGCGATGGCCATTCCGAAAACGCCGGGGGGGGGTTGGGGGGAAGTTGGCAAACATGAAGGCAAGTAGCTGAGAGAACCCAAACGCAGAAGCAAAGGACAACAAAATGGGGGAGGGATGAGAACGAGAACAAGAAGAAGCCGTACAACACTCGTTTGGTGGATACTTCTGTTGATGCTTTGAGCCGCTCTCCCGGGCTCTCAAGGGACTGACGGTTTCGACCAACTACTCTAAAAAAGGCGTGGTCGTTATTTCGGCGACCGGGGCGGCCGCTTTCTACACGCAGACCCAAATCAAATACTTTTATCTCTGCATACAGCACGGACGGCCGCGGTGTGTGTTCCATCACCGGCGAAACTGAGACCCTGCGCGTTTGTTTGGTTTCCTTTCGTTTCTTTTTCTCCAGGCGTCGACGCTCATGGCGGGAACGTTCAGAATGGCTGCGGCAAGAGATTCACGTGGAGTCGAGCACGGCCTTACCGAGGCGATCGGGGAGAGTGCAAGGCAACGGTACGTCTGCCGCCGAGCCGAAAGCATGCCTCCCTAGGACGCGGAATCTCCCCCAAGCGGCATCGTGGAACCTCTCAACGAACCGGCGTCGCCGTTGTGCGCGGAGTTGTTAATCATTCTTCGATTCACCCGTGGATCTTGTCAGCGGAGGCTCACTGCCCCGTGATGTTTCGCGCTGGTACGGCGAGACAGAAGACGCCCCATTAAAACAATTGATTAAATTAGACTGTTTTTCTCCCTCCCAACTCCGAAACTATCGTGCGACTGCTGTCTCTCCTCCCTGCCGGAGAGGCCACCCCTTAATCCCTCTTACCTGCCCTCCACGCTCTCATTCGCTTGGTTTTGGGCACAGCCGTTCACGGAGCTTAGCAAATTAACGAGACTTTCCTCCCTCCCCTACCCCCTCTTGCTGTCCTCCACGCTCACATTCCCGCTTGGTCTTGGGCACAGCCGTTCACCGAACAAGAGCCGGCGGCGGCGGCTCGCTCGAGGCACTTCATCGCCGACGGGATCGCCCTCCGGTGCGACCGCTGCCACCGGGACGTCGTCGGCCCCCTCTTCCGCTGCGTGCACTGCCCATCGTTCGCGTGCTGCCTGGAGTGTCAGGTCAGTTTTTTGTTTTCAAGGAGAAGACATATTGATGCCATCGATTTTTTTCCCCGACTCCGCCCGCCGCCGCCGCCGCCGCCGCCGCCGCCGCCGCCGCCTACATACATGGTGTTTTGTTGGAGGAACTGGTGGCAAGGACGTAGTGGCACGGTCTGTGACTCACGCGTGCAGTTGTTGCGGAGTACCGGTCATCTTGTGTTGTTGGGCGTGTGGGCTGACTACTGTACGTTTTGCCAGCGGTCATCTGGGTCCAATGGTTGGCAGCTCGCAACGCTGGGCTCGGTTAGATACCATGAGTCTTTCATTGTCGTGAGTGTGTAACACACACTGATAAACATGTGTGTTTTTTGTTATCCACGGACAAAAGTATGCTGCGTTTTACGGCATGGTCTAGTCTACATGAGCCGCGGTGCGTCAAGGCGAATAAATGACCAAGGGTCGGGCTGGGCGATGCAGTCAGCGCCCGCGCTTATGAAGTCGATGCTCAGCACCATATCGAAACTTAAGAACTTGAGCAACATGTTTGTGAGCCCCGTTAATTAAGAACCCCTTACAATACATCCTGGTATACATAGCGGCCATTTGTGGGTAACTGCAACACCCCAGCCCCGGCCAAAGCTACGAATAGAGGTCCTTTAAGGTGTGGGCGCTATGACTGTAGCCCTCCGTGTAGACCTTCTCTGCAACGCCTCCCTAGACCTGCTAGACTACATACGAACATACATACACGAAGTGTGACGGATCTCTGTCGTTTTCGCTGTGCAAGTCCGTTCTCTCGCTGCTTGCGAAGGACATCTGAATCTGAATCTGACGACAACGCCAGTGTGGCGTCAGCGCCAACACAGAAACGCTAGTTTCGACAGACAGCTCCCCCTTCCCCCCACCCCCCGGGAAACCTGCGGTGCAGGACGTCGCCAGCAACGACCCACGCCACGTGCATCACATCTTTCGTGTGGTGAATGGAGATAAGGAGCAGAATGCATCCTCGCCGGAATCAGGAGCACCAGCAGCAGCAGCAGCAGCATCACGAGTAGCGGCACCACCAGACGCAGCAGCAGGGAATATTGGGCAGAGGACGAGGCTGCGGCCGTAGCGGTAGCAGGGCACGGTATGGTTGACATGGATGTCAAGCGACCTTTGGTGTGAAAATACCTCTGCGAGTTGGGAAGCTTTGCATCACGTCGAACTCAATACACGTACTTTTAATCTCGGGGACGGGCCGCACGAAGGGAAGCGGAGCGGCACCGCAGCAATCACCGCAGCAGCAAAACAGCTCGTTTGATATGTCAGGTCAATCGCGCTGTGGGAGCTGGGTCTGCGTTCGGCGCGTCGACGACCGGGGCCACTCATGCCGCCGCCCCTCGACAGCAAGGGCGGGCCGCTTATTGCTTAGGCCGGACCCCGGTTGTCGGCATTGTACATTGTGAGGGGGGGGGAGAGTGAGGTCTCGGGGGAATTATGGGCATTCCTCTTGTGGTTGTCTCTCATATGGTGTGGAGAAGATGATGAATTGGAGTGTAAATGTCTTGCTGCATGTGGCGTTTGAGATGTTGAGCGTTGTCACAGCGCGCGCGCTAACTGTTGGTGATGATGTGCTATTATAATACACAGCAGTTGGCAAGTGGGTGTGTTTTGCAGTTATTGCCTGGAGAGAGAGAAAAAAAAAAGGGATTTTATACCATTAACCCCTTGACTACGGGTGGGTCTCTCCTGTGACGAGCTGTTGGCACCGAATCCACGTTGTGTTGCTCCTTCGATTCGCCGCCGGGCTAGATGAAAACATTTGTGGGATGGATCCCTGGGCTTGATTCAGATTGATGTCAATGTTCCTCCGTGGTGTATCCTGTGTCGCGGGGTACCATGGGTGCCGTGTTGTTTTGTAGCCCTGAATGTAGCTGGACGTGGTAGTTTTAGCAGAGTACCTTGTGAGGAGTCTCGAAGCACAATAAAAACCGTTGTATCATCCAGTACGTCAGACCGCGTGTGCGAGAGCAAACACCGAACGCAGCCTGCGCAGCGCTCGGACGCCCCCAGCAGCTATTCTTAGCGCAAGAAACACTTTCGTATGATAGCGATACGACACGATGCCATATCATCGTTCCAAATTTTTGTCTGCGGCCCCCCTTCCTCCGAAACGGTGGCCGCAGTTACATTCTTGGAATCTTGGAATGGAAACAAGCGGAACAAAGAGGTACGGCACCACAACGAAAACTTGGTCTCCACGTAAATGGAGTGCGGATCAGCACAAAGCACGAAATGCAAACCTTTGGTCGTCTCGCCTACGCGACTACCACCGCCACCGCCTCTCAACTTTCTCCCATGCCGAGCCCCATTTAGTTTGCGCCGGCTGGGAGGCGACACAGACAAGAAGACCAAGCCGCTCTTAAAATCAATGCGGAGCGTGCAGGTGTGGACGGGGGTGAGTTATCGGGGCTTCGGTGATGACCTGAGAAAGAGACGAGCAGGTTGTACCCCCGCACGCCCGGTCCAACACATTGGTTTCTTAGTTTTTGTAATCCCATTTATACTCTGGACGTTGGTTACACCGTTCGGTACAACTTCTGGACGCACCGGCCGGGATTACCCACACACACACACATGAGAACAACAATAAAAAAAAGGCCTGGACGACAGAATAATTCCGGAATTTTCTTGCGGGCTGCCAATGGACCGGCCGACGCCGAACTAACAGCGCAAGAATGACACGCATGCCAGAGGTACGGTCAAATGAGGATGATTGTGGAGATGCAAGTCAAACCGATTAATGCATACAAATACAACACGGTTAAAATGTCGAGAACACGGTTAAATGTCGAGAAAAAGAAAAAGTAGAAAGATATCACTCTCTAGTGTGGGACATCCACACACCATAGAAGCGCAGCACGTAGCTGCTGAATAGTTCCCCTCTCATTCTACCCTAAGCCTCTGCAACCCATAAGAATTCCAGCTAAACGTGTCACATACCAGCATTCGAATCCACCAACGTGGACGCAGGCAGCAGCGTGCGTTGTGAATACAAGACCGTCCGTCTGTGCGCAGCCAGCATACGGGGCAGCGACAACACCACGAACGTCAATTCCCCAAAACCCTGTACACTCAAAAAACATTTTTAAAACGTTTTTCGTCTCATACCCTTGGAGAGGGTACGATATGTACACCATTCGATCGCTACATGTAACTATGCGCGGACCGACGAGGACGGTGCTTCACCGCCCCTTCCGCCGGCGCCGCCGCTACCCCCTCCCCAATCCTTCTCGCGCGAGGCTCCGGCCTCCGCCTTTGCCGCCCGCACGGCCTCCACCGCCGCCGCCGCCTTTTCCGCAGAAGCAGCGACAGCGCCGCGTTCTTCGAGCTGACCCTCCCCCGCCCCGCCGCCCCAATCCTCAAGCTCCCCGGCTGAGAAGAGGGCAGCGGCGCTCTTGACGTCGGGATCATCGGCGTCATCGTAGGTGCAAAAGGCACCGCCGCCACCCCCGCTAGCCGGTCGTTTCGACGTGGCCCGGAGAGCTAGGGCGTCCCAATCGTGGCCCCGCGTGAGGCTCTGGCGTACCTTGGGGATCTGCTCCATCAGGAGGCTGCCCGTCGTGCCCATGCTGGGCGGTTCTGGGACCTCCATGATCGTGAGCTCGTCCATGTACCTGGCGGTCCGCGAGTCACGTGGTTTTTGTGTGGTTTAGCGTTGGTTGTAGGCCGGAGGAGGGGAGTGGAGCCAGCCGTCCTTGCCTACTGACAGCATTGCATCGATAAATGCGGAGAGATGCGTTCCGTTTCGTGAAGAATTAGTCGCGCCGCATCAGCACCGAGACAAGGTTGCTAGGTACTCTCCCACCTGCTGTCCCGCCGGTGTCAACAGCGACCGCAGCAGATTCGACAACCCGTCCCCTTTCTGAACCATTCGCAGTGAAGATATCAAATTTGCGGGAACCTCCACCTCTTGTTTTTCTTCTCTTACCTCTGTACGGAAGCCAGCACCGGCAGCTGATCCAGCAGGATGTCGTTGAGGTACTTCCGAACCCTAAGAATGTTGTTCTTTCTCAAGGAGTTGAAGTGGTACCGCTTCCGGCACTCCTCCTCACACATGAGGTGGTACATGGCAAGCCAGACCTGGTGGGGGTGGGGCGGGGGGGGTGTACTCTTATGTTTTGCATGCCTTAGCGTTAGACGATTGACCACGCGCCGTGGGGTGGGGTGCGGTGCGGAAACAGGCATTTAGTTGCGAGGGGGGGTGCGCGGTTCTAAGGCGGGGGGGGTAGGGTGATCAAGTTGTCTCGCGTGTCTCATTTGAGTCATGTGATACTTTCCCGTGCTTTCGAGGTGGCCAAATTGGCAGGGGTGGAGGGGGATACTCACGTGAACGTATGCCATAGTCACTATAACCTTGACCTCGCAACCCTACAATGCCGGGGCGGAGCGATATGCCGGGTTTTCGCCGGCCCAGGCTAGGTTTCACAACGAGCAACCGGAAGCTGGTCACCACCCTTGCGTTTGACGGGGGTAGCAGGGCGGCTACCAACATAAGTCGTAAAATCACCGCGTGATTGATGTAGGGAAGGTGCCCAATGACAAATTGGGAGGGACGTTCGACCCTCGGTCCACGAGAAGCCAATAAATAGTTTCAATCGACTGAACAAAACAGTTCACGCTTGTGCACGGTGCGCTACATAGTGCAACGGCCAAGTAAAAAAGGGAATTTGGTCTCTCCACCTTCTGCACAAGTACAACGTACCCGCGACTTGCACCGGTGTGTGCCAAGGTGGAGATGGAATGCGTCTTTGTTCGAGATCACAACTTTGACGACCGCTCATTGGCACACTGTATAGCAACACACCCCGCAGTACATACCCGCGCGACTTTTACTGTGAGAAACGATATAAAAATTATCCCAAACGGACGACCGCTTATTGGCACACTGTATAGCAACACACCCCACAGTACATACCCGCGCGACTTTTACTGTGAGAAACGACATAAAAATTATCCCAAACGGACGACCGCTCATTGGCACACTGTATAGCAACACAGCCTACAGTGCATACCCGCGCGACATATATTGTGAGAACATATATATCTCCCTTGAGGTGCTGCTGTGGGAAACGAACGGTCTTCTCTTGCCTGTCCCTCAGTCTTGGTGACCTGCAGCAGGTCGGCGGCCGCCACGGTCCTCCACTCGAAGTCCACGAACTTCTGCCAGGTGCCCTTGTATCAAAACAAAAACATAAACAAATGAAAAAAAAAAGATATTAAAAAAAACACACACACCAAGTAAACAAAAAAAAACACAGCGAAACTAGAAATTAGCGTGTGGCCGAGGACCAAAGTATGCACATGCCATGGGCCCCACAAGCTAAAGTCGGCAGACGACGTGCGTCCCGCTCGCTGACTACCCCTCCCCAAGATCTCTCCGTCCCAGCATTGTAGGGATTCGAGATTAATGATCTAACGACTACGGCACGCGTTTACACCCCCCCCCCGTCCCCCATAATCCCAACCTTAGCCCCTCCCGTTGGAAAACCTGGCTTTTCTCCGATAGATACTGCTGCCGATTGCATGCACATACAGTAGTGGTCCCGGTATAATGCCGGTACGATCCAGCCGATTTTCACCGGCATTACTGCGGGCAGCCGGCATTATTCAGAGCATGAAAGACAACTTCAACGTTCCGTCTGTGACAGACGATTCCACCGGCATTATACAGGGAAACCGGCATTGTTCGACCGGCACAATACCGGAACCACCACTGTACCTCTTCTGCCCGCCTGGTCCAAGGCGGGTTCTCCACGAGGATAACCAGGCCGAGAAGCACGTCGTGGGTGTCCAGCACTCTCGTCATGACCCCGAGGGGAAGGCGGTGCAGGTGCTCGCACAGGAAGCGGAGGAGGGCCACGGCCGTCACGCACACCCGGAACTCCGTCTCCTCCTGGTAGCCCCGGACCTGTAGGCCCGGCCGCCCAGCCAGCCCCGTTCGACGTGACCAAAAAATGACACAACGGGGGCAGAGAGAGAGGCCGTTCACTGATTGGTTGATGCCAAGACTGGTGTCGAGAAGAAGCACGAAACCATGCGCGCGCATGGATGGGTGGATGAATGGAGGCGTTGTGCTTCGACAAGGGGCAAAACGGAGGCACTGCGGCGGGACGGTAGTCTTGCAGAGAGAAACTAAAAAAGGAAAACTAGATGGTGATAAAAACAAAGAGCGTGTGATCTACGTGTGACCCCCTGCACATGTGTGTGCTCATACAGTTATGTAGAGTTGCTATGGAGCATGGGGAATCAACAAGTTTTGTCCTTCAACGACAAATGCGAAAATCCCGCATGGTAGTCTGCACGCATGGCATGAATCGTCGACACCGTGAGCGGGCCGTCCCTATTCTTTCAGCACGACGAAACGACGCGGCCGGCTGGACAATCGAAACCCAAACCGCAACTCAACAATCGAAAAGAACATACGTCCTGTGTTTGCCTTCCTCCAGGGTGACCCCGGCTGGTGCTTCAAACGTATCTCAAAAGGTTTACATGGACACCCAGAACAGATGAAACGAAAAAACAACAACACACACGCACAGTGTGTTGTACGATGCTAACAACGAAACACACAAAATACGCTGAGACTGACGTATTTTCATTGGTCAGCCGCTTATCGCGGTCGATCCTATCCTAACAATAATAACAAAAACACACACACACATTCACACACAACACTCTGGGGCTGACGTATTTTCATTGGTCAGCCGCTTATCGCGGCCGATCCTATCCCAACAATAAAAACAAAAAAAAACACATACACATTCACACACAACACTCTGAGGCTGACGTATTTTCATTTGTTAGCCGGTTAGCGCGGTCGATGCCAATGATAAAAAAAAACACACACACATGATACACAACGCACTCACCTCTTCGGCCGGAGAGAGCTTAGCGAGCCTTTCCTCAATGTCCTTCGCCACCTCCCGGGCATTCCGCGGTTTGCTCGAGGCCCGCCTGAAAGGGCAGGGATCAGCGAAGCACGCGCGAAGTTTCGCCGCAGGAACGCACAGAGTATTCTTGGAGTGCGTTGTCGTAATTTAGCGCACCTACATACAATCGACCGCGTGCTGCTACAAATCTAAGTTGGACAAGCCACGTGCGTGGATGCCTAATGGCGAGGGAGTATCCCGGCAAGCAGTAGTGTAACGGCCGACGCTACCGTTTCGAGCTCTAAAATAGCTTGCCAGGAAAGCCTACTACCACAGCTGGTAGTTGCCAGCCGGCCATCAGACACACTCCGCATTTCGGTACAAATACGATTACGCCGCGCACAGGCAGAGTACAACAAAAATAATCACATGAACCCTTCCAAAAAACACACACACACATGCACACACGCAAGACAAAAGCGCTCCCACGAACGGACAGAACACCCACCCGGAGATAAGCATGGTCATCTTGCGAGCGCAGTAGTCGGCGAGCTCCATGAGGAGGTCTCCTCCCGCCTGCTCGCAGATGTGCCCGTGGAACAAGGCGACCTGCAGGAGGTTCGCGAGGGTGGCCTCGTGGTAGAGGGTGAAGTAGAGCCGCATCGTGCACTTGCCCGACCTTGCTCGCTCCGTCTCCAGCAGCCGGGGAAGAACGAACTGCCATGACGTCATCATAAAAAAAAAAAACGTGGGTGGGGCGTTTTGGAAGGAGGGAGGGTTTCTCAATCGTTTGCACGGCTGTGGGTCAGTTGGGCAGGAAGGGGGATAGATGTTGTTGCTGTGCTTCCCCGTGGCGGGACAGGGTGTGGGTATTCAGCTGTCAGTCCCAGTCCTGCTGTCTCGGAAGAACGACCAGCAATGGCCGGTATCGCGGCATGGAGCATGAACCTGCTTCACGACGAGAAACGTCAACGTTTCCGTGTGCTTGTATTTCATGCCACCTGCGGTGCTGTCGTGGTAAAGCCTGTCTGGTCTTGGAGGCAACCTTCTTGTTCGCGCTTCGGACTTGAAACGAAACAAAACAACGCTTCATGGGTCTACAAGGACAGCCGTGTGCTCATGTACCTCAACGCCAGCTATTCACGTACGTTCGTCCACAACTACGCAAAAAATCTATCGCGCCCGCTGCCCTCACGACGAGCATCGGACACGCAACACGCAAGAGCAGCAGTACAGAGCAGCCCGTCTGCAGAACCCTTGGTAAGAACGGTTTGCCGCTAGTGACAGGACTAGTAGCTAAATTTCATATCGCCAGCCAAGACGGAGCGTGAACCAGCAGCTAAACGCGAGGGTGTACACACCCCGCCAGTGCTGTTTGCTGTCACCAACCTCCTTCCACGCCTCGATGGCCAGCAGCTCGTGCACGACGACGCCGAGCTTGTCGAACGTCAGCAGGGCCTCCAGGACGTACTCGTCGGATCTCGCCATCGCACTCTGGTGAGCCTGAAGGTTGAGCTTGGCCAGTCGGCGGTTTTGCTCGAACCAGCTGCAAAGTCGCACGAGATTTCAGGTGGGGCGCGTGGTTGGGGGGGGGGGATCGGTGGCGTAGCACAGTGCAGTAGGGGGCCCGCCCGATGTAAGGTTCAAAGGGCAGGCAAACACAGGCCTTAAACCGGGACACCCGGCACTATTCAGAGTAGAAGACAGTTACTCAGTCTGTGCCAAGCGATTTCACCGGCCTTATAATGGGCAGTTGACCTTGTTTATGGGGCCATATATCTGCCCCCCTACTGTGTTGGCAAGGGCAGAACAGGGGAGAGGGATGGCCAGGGCGCCATCCAACTTACCGTGAACAGGTTGAGTCTATGTAGAAATATTTGACTTGTCCATGATAGCCGTGGAAAGGTAGGCGAAATCGTCCCCGCACTTGAGTACATGCCGTCAGACGGCAGAGGCACGAAGGGAGCAGTGCATGCTAAAAACAGTGCGCAAGTAAACCTAGAACGTTTGAACCTACCAATTGAACGCGTACGTACGTACCGGTGAGAAACCAGGAAGACGGGCTTCGCTGCATCGCACTGCTGCTGTCCTGGTTCACACAGGCTACATACCGCTGCAGGCTTTGTTCGGGTTGCTTCCGAGATTAGTACACCCCTCGCACTTGCACTGCTGTTGCGCTACACCTCACCCCAACTCGGGAGCTTGGACGACAGAGATCGCTTCAGATGTACCACGTGGTGTATGAGGTTCCATGGATGGGGCTACAGCAGTACCGCACGTCTTGTGCGCGCACAGCAGAAAGAGCAGTCATGAGAGAGAGAATTCCTTGTTTTCGCACCTGCTGTTCCCAATCTCTTCAATAGAGAACTCTCGCAAGCTCTCCACAAAGTGCTCCGCCTCCTCCACATACAGAACCGGCGCTGCGTTCGCTGCCCCCGCGTACTCGTTTTCCTGTATCGGTGTGTGCAGTGCCGACCCGCTCATGAGAAACAGCTATTATGAGCGATGCTCAAACCATATTTTGTCTTGTCCCCGCCACTGAGCAAAAGGCTGAAACATACTTATATGCATAGGAATCAACATAGCGCCGGCCTCTCTGCTCAATTTCTTCGGTTGTGTTCAAAATCTGAGCCTCGGCTTCTTACGAACATACCACTTCTTGCTAGCGGACCGGCACGGCTGTATGACACGCAGCAGTGAAGCAGCCAGTCGCAGCGGATATACGGCGCGAGCCGCGAAAGCACCGGTACAAACAAGATCGACAGAGCAGAGTGATGCTGGATGCCGCAAAAATTGCACACAAAACGTCTGCGGTGTTGGGAAGGAACCAAACGACCGAAGCGTATCTATCACTACTACACTCGTCAACATTCTAAAATACTCAGGTTGAATGTTGATTGAGGTCAATATGTTATTGTGGAGTGTGTTAAATTAATTGTTGTGTTTGGTTTGTGGGAAGCGACATGGATCCACTAAACCATCTGATTTAAGATACGTGTAAGAACACATGTCCGGGATACACCTCTTGCGCATACCACAAGTACATTTGTGATCCTCACTCAATTCCGATTCGGTGAATTCCAACGCAGCTGGACGGAGCAACGACTGCGACATTTAAGGTTGTCGTCTGCCACAGTCAAGGGTGTTGGAAGGGGAGGACAGAACGCGGACGATGGCCGTATCTATTGCACACCCACTGCTGCACCACTGCACTATGGGTCTCACAACGGACGCCTCTACAGCAGGGCATCAGGGCAAGAGATGGACATCATCGGCTCTCGAGACTCACATCTTCGATTTGCAGACCCGGTCGGGTAGGCAGAGACCAATCGCTCTTGGGCACTCCTGCCGCCACCGTCGCCGTGCTCATCGCGTCTGCTTCCCTTGGTGTGTGCTGGGTGCCTGGGGGTGTCCAAGTCCAAACGAACATCCCCCATCAACAAATCTCGCCGCATCAGGACGGACGGGGCAGGCGGGCAGGCGTTTTCTGCTGTGACTGTCAGAGGTGACGGTTTCACGCAATAATTTTGGCCGCCGACCGCCGACATTTCAGGCGGACCGAGCCGGCTCTGTTATTTATACTGCTGTGTGGCGATACAAGTTACTGCCCTCCCGCTCTGCTTTGAAGGTTGGTGAGAAATATAGCCAGGGCAACTAGGTGGTAATAGAAGCCTTTGAGATGTCCCCCGCCGTGTAGAGTAGAGCAACCGCCGCGGGAGAGTTGACGGGAAATGGAGCACGTCAACAAACGAGCGGCAAGACAAAGTTTCATGTCTTCGAATGTACTATAATAATTGGTGCATGATCATCCCTCTGGAGAAACAATGCATTCAGGCCTCTCTGTGACGTGAGTTAAGGGAGTTGAAGCTTTTTCTTAACATTTGTTCCGCTCCTTCTCTTGTTACGGGCGTCTACGTGAAACACGCTCCGCAATACACTGCTGTAGGCGAGGCCGACAAGTACTTCCACCATGGGCAGAATAACCCTGGCGATACCGACGGGTGGACCCTTGATGGCAAATTCAAACTCCGGTTGCTGTGGTGGAGGAGCCGATGGCGACCTAACGCCGTTGGGACAGCGGAGGAGCAGGCTACCTTTGCAACGCAAAGTAAAGCAGGTGCGAACGCGGAATGATTGTCGATGGTACAGCAGTATTTAGTTCAAAGACACATTATTAGTCTACACATGTGCACCGAACCATGCTTCAAAAAAAACTCTCGTCAGAGCGGTGTCGTGAATGGATGTTGGTGAAATCCCTGGTGACATACATGTACGATTCTCCGAATACTCTATGTTTCAACACACGTAGAACAAGTTCTTACTACGATGCCGCGGTATCTCCCATTTCACCTGAGGCACTCGCTGCACATGTTGCCTTTTGTTGTCTCTCGAACGGTCGCCGCACCTGCCAACCAGCTTGAGAGGCCATGGAAGCATACCGATGCTGGAGCACAGGTCATCACCCCACACCATCCCACGTGGGCGTCATCTCAGCCAGTAAGCAAAGACGGACGGTATCCCGACGCGAGGCCGCGAACCAGCACTCCGGTGGCGCGAAAGAGTAGGGCAAGTGTTTGTGGGGTGATGATGCGTACTAGTGTTTCGGCCAAAAGTGTGAGGCCGACTGGTTGCGGAACGACGGCACGACCACGGCCGTCAACCGGATTGTCTCCGTCGTCGTCACGCCTACTGAGCCCCGCTTGGAGCACGTCGGAACCGGTGCTGTTGAGCACCACCCGTACTACAGATACTGCCGAACCTGCCGTCGAACCGGGCATTGCCTTTATCCGTGGGTGTGGCTACAGCCTGGACCCCGGCAGACGTGGCGACAACGAGGGAGCTGTAGGAAACAAGCGCCCCGTGCAGATTTCCACCGATGCCACGCTGACCTCTGCTATCAGCTCCCCCTCCTTGTTAGCTGCGATGTCCGTTACGACAACGGGTCCCGCAGCGAGTACAGAGGGTGATGGTGGAGATCCCGATGACAAGATCGTCGGTGCGCGACAAGTCGTCAGCACGCCCTCAGGCAGCAGCAACAAGAATGGCAACGATGACGAGGAGGATAGCAACAGCAAGAACAATCCGTCTGTGGAGTCAGCCCGTCACGTGAGCTCTGCTGATGCAGTGGCTCATGGTGCAGCCAGAAGAGCGGCGAAGCGGCCGAACTCCGCTGCCATTGCTCGGGCTTCCTCCTTAAACCCGCTCGCTCAAAGGGCAAAAACTGACGTTCGGCGACCCCGAACAGCGGGATGCAGCCGGGGACACGCGGTTGACCCCTACCTCCTGTCAGATGACAGCGCGGTGATTGGACGGAGCATCACATCGGTTTCGTTCCGGCCAGACCTAGAGAAGGAAGGGTGCGCGGCGGTGGCCAACTGGGAAAACGAGGGCTCGTCGATCGAATGCAGACCGTCCGTGTCCGTCACCCTACCCATGTTGGAGGACTGTAACGACACACGAGATAGGAGGTAAATAGGGTGATTGAGAGACGGTGACCCATTGTTGGTTGATACTCCCCAGATGTTGTACGGCAGGGCGCTGGCGGTCACGAAGAGGAAGATAGATTTTTCTGCTCTTGATCGGATGGAACATCGTGGCAACTGCCATCAGACCTTGAGGTTTGGTATCCGGTTACCATGCTCTCTTGCATGCGTCTGTCAGAATAGTCTATCACAAACTTCCAGGACAAGAACGAAGGCGGAGTAACGCGTTTAACAGCTTCGCCCTGCATAAGCTACGCGATATGCAGCATTGACGATTGACTTTGTTGTTGTTGTTATTGTTGTTGTTGTCCTTCACATGAAAAAAACGTTCCGATCTCTGCTCGCTACCTTCGGACATCCGAACTGGTCCACCTGATACTTACGGCGACTGAACTATTCGTGCAGGTTTAGCCCCGGTTCCGCTACAGAAACGTCGACCCGCGGAGAGCTCGGAGTAGACAGCAGGCCATCATGTTCGACGGTTAACTGTGGCCCGGAGGAATTCAATACCGCCCCGCGGGAGCGCCCGGGAGAGCCAAGAAGACTCGGCGTAGCCATTGCACAGAGCAAAGCAGGACTTGACAACAGAAAAAACGAGGCCCTTCGACATAGTGGGGAAAACTGCAGCAGTCGCGACCCATTGTTGGGAACGCACTCGCCCCACATCAGCGCCCTGGGGTACTTTATCGAGGAACCCAGGCCGCAAGCAGCGCCCTCGGCCTCCCCCGGCCTGCACGGAAGGGCGCTCTTCGGCAGCAACCACCGCCGCCCTCGATCATCGCCCTCCAGGCCGCCGCTTCCGCCGCCGCCGGCCATAACGCCCGGCGAGCAGCCGTACGGCGACGCCCATCCGCTGTCCCCGACGAGCATGGGAAGCCCTCCCCGGAGACACCGCAACTCGAACTGGGGGGAGGAAGGGGCACGCCTAGCGGCGGAGGAGGCGGAGAACGCGCGCCAGACCATCCCTTTTGTCGTCTCGGGCACCTTGCTAGGGTGAGGGGGGGGGGGGCTCAGGGGATGAAGATGGTGCCGTTTAGTTGGTGGTAGATGTGGCGGACAAGGTCCAGGTTGACCTCGAGAATTGACTCAGCTCTAGTGGTGGTATCACGGGTTCAAAATGATAGCAGGCAGGTTACGTCGATATACTCATATCCCTACCGTAGAAGCAACCTCTTAAATACCTTGTCAGTCACCTCTCTATTGGGCGATATAGCACGGTACGCTCTACCTCGCAGCTTATTTACAGCACGGCTCATCTCTACCACGAAAATGTTGATGCCGTGCCCGAACTCGGCCGTAACAAGTAGGTTCAAGCACCTCCTTTCCACGTCCCGCAGCGCGAAGAAAAAGCAAATAGCAAACGCCGCTCGATCGACCAATTGTAAGATCAATCTTCTCACGTCACCCCATCAGGTGGAAGCTCTCTACGCGGGAGCGGAAGAAATCCCTGGAGGACTCGCTCAAGGCATCCGACTACTCCGAGCACCATCTGATCCCCGTCTACGGCTTCCGCAGCAACGACGACAAAGAGCAAGAGGACGACCCCGGCGGGACGGAAGGAGGCGGTCGCCGTGACCGGACGATGGGCGTCGAAGAGCGACGAAAAGAGCTGCGCCGGGTGGAGGCGAGGGCCCTGGCCGCCGAGCGAGCGTCTATGGAACGCCGGTCGAGGGCGGAGGGCGGGGCGGGGGGCGCGGCGTTCGCCAGGGCCATGTCGAGGCGAGCGTTGGCTCGGGCTGAGTGGATACAGAAGGTGCGCATTGCCTTGTGTGCATCGAATTGCATACAGCTCTCTGTCTCTGTCTCTGTCTCTGTCTCTGTCTCTGTCTCTGTCTCTGTCTCTGTCTCTGTCTCTGTCTCTGTCTCTGTCTCTGTCTCTGTCTCTGTCTCCCTCTCTGTCTGTCTCTCTCTCTGGTAAATGGGGGTCTGTCAGGACGGTAGTGAGTGGGAAAAAAGCACGGTCACAAAGGGTGATTGCCGGGATACTTACCCGGTTTCACCGATGCAAAAGTCGAGCTCTTCTCTCGAAAGTAGAAGGTCAGGAAGTTGGTGTTAGGTGGGGCCTCGGGTGTGTTCTCGGCCTCGCGCGTGCTTCGGCGTGTGCAGCATGGCTGCCTGATCGCTTGCCGTGTGTTTGACCTGTGCACATTCAAGTCGTGGACGTCGAGGACGATGTGTCACCGCCGGTTTCAGTCAGACTTCAGCGTAGCACTTGCGTTGGAACGGCGTTTCGGCTTGCTCAGGGCATGCCTAGCAGATGCCGAGATCTCTCGATTGCCCACGACGTTCTCCCCCCTGTAACTGTTGTGACGTGTTGTTATACAGTCTCCACGACCGAACCCCTCGCGCACTACGATTGCAGAAACGGGCGCGTGGTGTTTTTCACTTCATCTAGAATACCCCTCGTCGATATATTAGACGGGGTTTCGGGCTTCGCTTTTCCAGGCACCGAACGTTGGAGATGTATGAAGTATAATTCCAGAGGGCCACCTATCATATCCCATATGAAAACCTTGCCGTCCCAGCGGGTGTAGCTGTATCTGGTGCTGAGCTCATCGTAGATGGTCGCTAAAAGAGCGACGGCCTCCTCAGTTGAACAGCAGTCTCGAACATTTAAGTGCCGATACGCAATTCGATGTCCCTGGGATGGCGATATCCCTGGGTGACGCTTGGGACGAATTGTGTCGGGGAAAATGGAATGTGAGGGGAGTGAGAAAGAAAACCAAATTTGCGAGCTCTTGAAAAGTCGAAGACAAGTGTATGGGTCGTGCTGTAGAACCCATTGTTAGAATATCCGTCGGGGTCTTCCGAGAACTAGTTCCCACCGTCTGTTGTCAGTCTCGGAGAGAGGAGGAGGTAGCCCATGAGCACGCGGACTCTGTTATCACGTACTTTGTGACAATGCTGTATGAGTGTATCATACTATGGTGTCGACTGCCCTTAACACTTTCCTGCCGCTGCTCGATATCCTGCATGCTCATCTGCCGTCTACAGTAGTACTTGGCTACTCTGTATACGTGCCCACGGAAGCATCTCCGACACTCCCCGCCCGCTGAAAATTGTCCATGTCCTCCGTTCCTCCTGACCGTCTTCGTGCCCGTTCTTTCCTCAGATGGGCGACGTTCTCGACGTAAGAAAAGACAACGTGTGCCGCGGATCCTCGCCGGAAGTCCTTTGCGCCTACCGCAAGCGCGTGAGAAACCGGCTGAACGGCGAGCGCCTTCGACAGCGCAAGGCGAGGGGGCTCCCTTCAAGAAAGCCACCGCGCATCAGCGCCGTCACCTCCCGCGCAGACTTTCCCTCGGCCGCTGCCAAGAACAAAGCGCAACCAGCCGGCGGAGGAACGGCTACCGACGACAACGACAACGATCATGATGCCAGCAACGAGCGGGGTGGTGGTGGTTGTCGTGGCGGCGGTGGTGGTGTCAGCCTGATACAAGATGAGCTCGGGCGAGAGCCGTACCTCATGCTCGTGAGGGCTAGGAGCAGATACTCTCTAGAACAAGAGCTATCTTCGCGTGGTGGGGGGAGCAACAAGAAATTCGTTGCCTCCACAAGTATTTGCGCCCGGTTTTGCTCGGATTGTGTCGGTGGTTGCAAGGGGACGTGCTCACCCGATGGCGCGAGGAGTAGTCGTTCTCGTAGCTGTAGCACCGGAATTGTCGCTGAAGGGCTGGCGGGGTGATTTGCGGCAAAGAAAGGCCGAATCACAACCTGTCACATGATGGCTCGCGGAGGACCAACTGGCATTTTCGAGAGGAAAAGCACCGCGAAAAAACATCTGCTATGAGGATGATGCCACAAGGGGCAGGAGAGGGGGCTGGCTTGTCCGCTACACCGCGCGGGATGTTGGCGGCGTGGGGATGTGGTATCGTGGTGTTCCCGCACGCATGTGCCCATTCTTGTTTGATGTCGAGTGTTTGGACTTGCGACGTATCGGCGGTGTTATCAAGTGTTGCGTCCCCAAAGCTGAAATAAAAAACAATTTAGTCCATAACAAACAGCAGCGTGCATATTTGCTTGTCGGTGGCAAAGCAAAAATAGGGACATACCTTCCGTGCGTTCCGTCCCCAAAACCGAAAACAAGAAAATGTAGGTATCTTCAACTGACGCTATGAATTTATTGCCAATCTATCCTGGACTCTTCTCTATGGAGGATAGAGATGGATTCGTTGTGTCATGTTCAGAAGAAATAATAAATAAAGTGCAACACACACACATGATTTATTGCAATTCAATCGATGTCTCGACCTGACTGAGCTTCAACTTGACTATATAGTGTTGTGGTGATGCACGTGCCAGCACCCGACACACAAACCTATGTTGTTCGGGAGTTTAGCCCCGATGTGAGCTTTGGGCTGCTGTGCTGAGTTCATTCTTGCCTGGGAGGCACGCTAGGCAGTGGTGTACACAGGGCATCTCACGGCAAGAAGACTTACTTGAATGAGGTGTCATTCGGACGGTGTTTGCACCGGCCTCTGATTTGTTGGTTGAGGTGTGGTCGAGGGGCAGAGGTCAACGAGACTCGCTACCGCCACAGCCAGGCAGATATTTTCGGCGCTATTGTGGGGTTGAAGTGCTTTCTAGCCGTTGCAGATATGCTGTATGGACTGCGTGAAGTTGTTGCCGTTTTTCGCCGGACACTCCTCCGTCGGGGCCCGATGCGGTCTCGGATGTTGCATATGGGCAAGACAAGCGAAAGGACGGGGAGGGAGTGCCGATTCTTCGCCAGAGCAGACGATGACATGGCCCTCGCGCACCCACCACATGTACAAGCCGTATAGTGTGCTCCATTCAAACCACAAAAAAAATCGCCCAACACAGTAGCAGGCAAGAGACAGCCAGCACACGTGCTGTATCCTGACTTTGCAAGATATTATTTTATGTAGACTGGCAGGCTTAATCTTTGGCAGCCACCCCGTGGCGAGAAAAACGTCTCATGCTGGTGCAAGGGAGCACAGAAATACGTTGATCCAACACCTACCCGCCAAAACTTTGTTTGTACCTCTCCGGGGGGTGGGGGCGTGTACTCATAGTCGTGCATGCCGTAGTCGTTTGACCATTGACCTCGCATCCCTACAAAGTCGGGACGGAGCACGCCGGGTTCTCACCGGACCAGGCTCTCACATTACCAAGCGCGAAGCACCGTGAGGTATTCGGCGAGTCGCATGAAGGGTGCGCGCCATGCTGTAAAGGGTGTTCGGCATCTTGTGCTTGCTTCCTTGCATGCGGATGGCAGCGGCGTATGACTTAATTTATTTTCTGGTGCTTTCATTTCCAGAGACAGCAATGAGCACTGTGTAACTGCCTCGAGGGTGCTTGGCTAACTTAACACAACGTGGTGCGACCATCCCCTTTGCGCGGAGTGAGGGTTCTCGACTCCGCACAACATAATCTACCCGACCACCATTCATTATGGTTACCGCAGAAAATAGACCAAGGGCAAAAAACCCCGGTAACCTAGTCGTCGAGCTCACGAAGTGATCGGCTTGTTATACAACGTCGTTGCCAAGCGACGAAAACCCAACCCCGATGGCAAACATCGGGGGGGTACGAAGGCCCCATCCCCCCCCTCTCCCCCAACGCCATCCAATTTCATATATATGCAAGTCTATTAATCCTATATGCAAAGAGGGCACATTTCACGCACGGGGGTAGTACAATCCACGTTGCCCCTGGGGGAGCTTGCGTGTGGTACCGTCCGTCGCAGAGGAGAGAGAGAGAGAGAGCTTGGGGAGGTTTGTCACGATGAGCACAGTCTCCGTGGGGAGGGGATCCCTATCAACGACCCCCTTCGACAAGATGGCTTGGCTAAACCGCGTCTGCCGAGAGCGGCGTCGAAGTCCACGTCATCTACACCTTGCACCGCCAACGTACAAAGCGCTTGTTTTGCAGCCCTGAAAAGTGGATGTGGAAGCACTCCATGTCCCACCACGTAAAAGGGAAGAATGCCACTTCGTTGGCGCTGAACAAAACAGATCCCAACACTGTGATGAGGTCCACAGATAGCTTTGACCTAGGCGAGGCTGAAAAGGCGGCGGTGGTGGGAAAGCTAAAGACCAATGGTACGGCTATCAGAGCCCCCGTCACACGCCGAAACGTCTCACACCAGAAGAAAACGGCTGCAAAGCCCCCGTAGCACGCCGTAAGGTCTCGCCGAGGGCAGGGGGGGTTGGGAGTACAGACGAGTCAGTCTCAGACGAGTCGTCAGCGGAGAAGGGGACTGGGTTGAGGACGAGAGCTCCGAGTCAGAGGAGGGCTTGGAGGTGGAGAAGGCGGCGGACATGGAGAGAAATGAGGAGGAGGAGGAGGAGGAGGAGGAGGAGGAGGGGGTGGGCGGGAGGGGGGGAGGAGAGGGA